GTGTATTTTTCTACTGCCTCATGGACTGGAGGAAAACATTTTAACGTGGCCCAGACAACCGGTCCTGGCATTCTGGAACAGAATGATCGGTTTGGTTTATGTTTTAAAGCACAAATAGTACTGCAGATCCTGGTGTAAGCATCTGTATTCTTTTGACAACCCAGAAGCCTTTGTTCAAATCTAGAAGGGGAATTTCAGGATTTGCTATCCTGGAAATTTTAGTGCACTACTTTATATTAAAACACTTGCTGAATTTAATAGCTTGCTAATTTACTGGTAAGAGCCTCATGATGGCGCTGTCAGCTTATGTAGTTACTTGATTTTAAAAAGGAATGGGATGGTTGTTTCTAAACTGTGCTTTATTTCTTTTCTTTTTAGAAATGTTTTATTGATTTTTTACTGTAACAACCCTTAGTGCCTAGTGTACAGCGTGTTGTCTTAGTTCATAAGTTTTGAAGAAAAAAAAATCCATAGTAGTTAATTAACAGTCAATAATAATTAATTTTTGTACTTCCATAATTACTATATTAATTAATAGTATATTTCTTTAATCTTCCCTTCTCCCAATAGTACTCTCCTTCTCCAACCTTAAACAAATGTAATTGTTAATATTTTCAATGCATAAATGGTTAAATATAAACATTTTTCCATGTTTGTACAAATAATAATAGTGTCCATATATGACATTTTTTTTCTTATCTACTTGTGTTGTTTTTATAAAAATCATCTGATTAGTTCACCATATATCCTATTTTCATAATTCTTGTTTAAGCTTAATTTCTCCTTAATATTCAAACAATTCTTATCAGTCATAATTTTCTCAATATTTATCATCTAAATATCCAGATTTTCCATTTAGATACACCATCCCAATGTTTTCATATTTCATGTGTTATAAAAATACTATACTGCTTATCTATCTTATGACATCTACTTATAACATCTTTTCTGATCAGTTTATATTCACTTATATTTGTAAAAGTTAATTTGTTAAATCACTATATATTCTATTTTTGAAATTCTTAATTAAGCTTAATTTACCCTCAATATTTCAGTCATTCCTTAATCCTGATTCTCTTCAACTTAATTTATCTTTGAATTTCAAACTTTTAATTCACATACACATTCCCAAAATGTTTACATTTTATACATTATAAAAATTACTATTACTTATATCTCTTATCCCTATTATTGTAAGGCCCCTTTATATCCAAAGTTATCCGTTCTTTTAACCGTATTCAAACAAGTGTTTGCTCATGTGATACTCAATCTGATAGGGCGAGTCAAATCTCTTGAATCTGTCTCTGGCCTTCATTTGCCAAGTAGTTTTCCAAATTGATATTTTCCGCTTGTCAGTAAGTGTTTTTTGGAGTGGAGAAGACAGAATGTGTAAAATATATGCTTTTTGTCTCTCAAACTCTAACAGTTCTCCTGGCAGTTCTATAGTCCATTTTGTTAAGTCTTTTTTCTTATCCTCAGGTTTATTTTGACATTCTAATGAATAAAGTATCTTTTCCATTTTTGTTGTTATGTCCAGGTCTTGTAGGTTTTTTCCTGTTTATATTAATCTCCTCATGATTTAAATCTATTGTCATTTGTATCTGTCATAGCAGTACAGACATTTCCTCCTGGAAAGTATTTGTCTTGTCTTGAAATGTTGCTTCTGGAGGTCTTTGATATTCCAGGCTAGGTCTTTCAGGAGTATGTATTAAATGTGGTTTTCTGTCATTTTTTTAAATAAATATTTTATTAATTTTCTATTTTTACAAACAAGTGCTTATTAGACAATGTGTTGATTGGGTCCATTAGTAATTCTGTGGTACATATAAGCTTCTTCAAATTAAATCCAATATTACACCATCCAATACATCCTCTCTTCTTCCGGTAATAAACATTTTTCCACATTAAGCAAATACAATTCTTATTGTTGTTAATAAATATACAGTTGAATATCAGCATTTATTACAGTTTTCTAATAGTATCAGTGATGTCAGTTTAAAATATCTTTTCTAACCAAAACATATCTTAATTGCATTTACACTCAATATCCATTTATTCAGCCAGTATCCTATTTTTGCTTTTTTTTCAGTTTTAATTTCCCATCCAAATTCAAAATGTCCCAATCATTTATAATTTCAAAACAAGTTATATTTGGGCAACCAAAAGCTTCCCTTATTCAAGCTTCTTAGCATTTTCTTATTTCTCTTTTCCTGCCAAAATATGATATTCTGATTACCAATCTTATCTATCTAGTTATAATAATACTTCTATTTCTAACAATGTAGGCTCGCTAAAGGGAGAAGATGGCAAGGAAATTACAGGCAACAGGGAGAAAGCAGAGCTGCTTAACTCATACTTTGTGTTAGTCTTCACACAAAAAGAAACTACAGCCCAAAACACACACAAAAAACCCACTTCAAAAGACATACCAGAAACAAAAATTAAAATAAGCAAGAAAATAGTAAGGGAACACCTATCCAACCTTAATGAATATAAATCACTGGGACCCGTCAGGCTACATCCCAGAGTTCTGAAAGAGTTGGCAGAAAAAACAGATCTGCGAACAACTAGAAGCAAACAAAGTCATAACTAGTAGCCAGCACGTGTTTGTCAAAAATAGATCATGCCAAGCCCTAATAAGACCCCACTTAGAATACTGCTGCCAATTTTGGTCACCATACCACAAAAAAGATGTTGAGAGTTTGGAAAAAATTCAAAGAAGAGCAAGCAAGATGATCAGGGGCCTGGAGATTAAAACATATGAAGAATGGCTACGGGATTTGGGTCTGGCTAGGCTAGTCTAAGGAAAAGAAGAAATAGGAGAGACATGATAGCAGTGTTCCAGTATCTAAGGGGTTGTGACAAGGCAGAGAGGGCCAGGTTGTTCACCAAAGCACCAGATGGAAGGACGAGAAACAATGGTTGGAAATTGACCAAAGAGAGAAACAACCTGGAACTAAGGAGAAATTTCATAACAGTGAGGACAATCAACCAATGGAACAGCTTACCCCCAGAAATTGTGGGTGCTCCATCACTGGAGATTTTAAAGAAGAGACTAGACATCCACCTGTCTGAGACAATATAGGTTCTTCTGTTTAAGCAGGGGGCTGGACTAGAAGACCTCCACTAAACCACTGAAACCTCCTCTCATAATCTCCCAAACCAAGAGCAGCAGAATAAAGGAGTGCCGCACATTTTGTAATGGGAAATGAAGATTTGACTCAATCATCTTTTTGAGGATAAGAACAGGTTTTTCTTTTCATAGTAAAGCATGGGATGAAGTCTCTTCACTGAAGGTTATGGTCCATAGTGTACTACACTAATCCAGTGCAGTCTGATCTATGTTCTTTTTTTCAACTTTCCAGTCTAGGGCTTAGAAAGAATGACTACCTCAGTCACCTGCTATGCCTGAAAAAGGACCAGAACTGGTTTTCTTCTGGTACAAGTACTTTTAACCACTGCATTTACGGGAGAGAGCCATCCATTCACACAATCAAACTTGAGTTCTGTAAGCTATGCCGAGAGATATACTTTACCAGATATGTAACCATACATCAAGGAAATCAAGGAACAGTACTGCAATATGCACAGAGTACAATATTTTAATATGACACAGATATGAAAACAAAAACCATAAAGCTTCTGAACAAAAAAATAACAACTGAAATGACTGTCCAAACTAGTTCTGGCTATGAACTCTGAACCCGTTCTGTTTTTGCCTTCACCAATCTGTTTCCACAACTATGGAATCTCCAAACCTTGGAACTTTCCACCAAGACTGGCAGGCCAAGCTACTGTATATTAACAGGAGCATTCCCCACAGTCATTAGCACTGATGATGTTACCTAGTACGGTAATGAAATGACTACAAGCAAACAACTAAGTTCAGAGAGTACCATGGACTCCACAGTCCAACCCTACGCTACATATATTCTCTCCTATTGACAAAAAATATTTCCTGCCCAATCTTGTGCCAGAAGGACATTGCTGGATTCAACCCAATATGTAAACATTAGAGCTGCTCATTCTTCAGTTTCTCCATAGCCTAGATGTTTATTAATCCAGCCTTTCCTATAAATTAGTGACTCAGAAGCTCTGTTATTTACAGAATGGAAAGGTTTTTGGGTTTTTTGCTACTAATAACCCAACCAGAATTTGCTGATTATCCAGTATGTTATTCTTCCTCCTCCTCCTCCTGTCATTGCCTTGGATTGGCCCACTTCCCCAAAATGAGGAAAGCTCTCCTACTGTTTGTTCATTTATTCATTCATTCCTTATTTTAATTTATATTGGAGAATTCCACTCAGAGTCCTTTTTAGAGGATTCGTTCTTCTGAACATATGGAGTATTTTAAAGAATACCAAATAATTAAGTAGAGCAGCAGCTGTATCAGGTTTCATTTAAAAAGAATAAAATGATCATAATAGAATTTCTTTGGATGAAGAGTGTAGACCTAGCCCAGCTAGGAATGAATAAATGGAGGGAGAGAGAGGGAGGGGGGAGGGAGGGAGGGAGGGAGGCAGTGAGAGAAGGAGGAGAGGAGAGAAGGAGGGGGTGGAGAAAGAGAATACATTCTTCAACAATGTATGTCTTTCACCAATCTGTTTCTACAACTATGGAATCTCCAAACCTTGGAACTTTCCACCAAGACTGGCAGGCCAAGCTACTGTATATTAACAAGAGAATCCCCCACAGTCATTAGCACTGATGATGTTACTGTCAACTCTACAGTATTTAAGCTAGGTATTTGGGCCACTTTATTGCCCACACCCATGAGGTTCGAATAGGCAGATGGATCCCTGATAGGTCAGACCTCAGCTACTCACTTAACTGAACCAATATGCTTAGAACTAGGGGAGCATTGGGAGTTTATCTGTTTTGTGGTGGTTCCAAAACGACACAAATGAGGCCCAAGGGCAGTCTCTTGAGATGAGACCCTAAAAACTGCTGTAAACTGCACACCTGGGATATCGCTTGTCCCAAGCGAGTACCGAGACCTAATGGTGTTCAGTGAAACCAAGTGTGACGTCCTGCCTCCCCACAGAGCAAATGGTTGTCCTATTGAAATTTTACCTGGAGCTAAATTGCCCAAGCCAAAAATGTACTCAATGACCCCCCGCAAATTGAAGAAACTGAGGGAATACATTGACAAGAACCTGGCTAGAGGATTCATTCAGCCAGGAAAATCCCAAGTAGCTGCCCCTGTGCTTTTCAAAGAAAAAAAAAGATGGATAGCTGAGACTGTGTGTAGATTTCAAAGGGTTAAATGGGGTCAGTGTGGAAAATATGTACCCCCTTACCTTAATGAAGGACATGTTGGCCCATTTAGCAAAAGGAAAGATTTTTACCAAACTAGAGCTTAGAGAGGCATGTTATGTAGTGAAATTAAAAAGGGTGGATGAGAGTTTTATCTTAGACATAACAATAAATTGTTCTGTGGGACCAAGGTCATTGTTCACTGCATTTTGGCGGACTGTAGTTAATTGGGGAACGTGATTTATGGCATACTACTGGGGTGGGAAGTTTCACTTGGTAACTTTGTAAGTTTGTGGGGGGGGGTGTATTAGTCTTGGGTTCACTTTTGAACATGCCGATATTATGTAGACAAATAAGTATGTTCTTTAAGGAAATATTTTTGCCTTGGAGTTCTTTTTGCTGGTCTCATCTATCGGAACCATGACAGCTACCTAGTACAGTAATGAAATGTCTGCAAGCAAACAACCAAGATCAGGTGAATACTATGGACTCCATAGTCCAGATCTATACTACATATATTCTCTCCTATTGACAAAAACTCTTAGGGGGAGCCTGGAACCCCCACAGAACATGTCTCCGGGTGGCGGATTGGGGGGCCCTACAGCATTCAAGTTCTTGAATAGCATTGCAGAGATGTCAGTCACAGTGTTTACATGTGCCTCATTGATTTTGAAAAAGCATTTGATAAAAATAAGACACAGCAAACTATTAGAAATCCTAAAACAAGTGGGACTAGATGACAAAGACATCCAAATCATAAAGAATCTATATTGGCATCAGGTAGCAAATGTGAGACTAGGCCAAAAATACTCAGCTGATGCAGAAATACGAAGAGGGGTCAGACAGGGATGTATTCTATCTCCACTATTGTTCAATATCTACTCTGAGTCAATCTTCAATGAGGCACTGGAGAACATTGATGCTGGCATCAAAGTAAACAGTGTTTGGATCAACAATTTAAGACATGGCTTCTCAACCTTTTCATCCATTGTACCACTTTTAGGATATGGCAATATCTGAGTACCACTAGTTGCCTAGCAAGGTGTCAAAAACTTGATGACCAAAAAAAAAAAATTGATAAAGTACAGGTAGTCCTCAACTTACAACATTTCACTTAGTGACTGTTCGAAGTTACAATGGCACTGAAAAAAGTGCCCCCCAAGCCACAGCTGAGCAAGACACCTGCCTGCCCACCCAGCGACGCTCTTCCTCCTGTCCGAGGTTTTCATTGTGAGCATTTCTGTTGAGGATTGGCAGTGGGGGTGGGGTGGGGGTGTTTGGTTTTTATCCCCTCCATCTGCTGGGTGGTTGCAGCAGGTTTTGGTCACTTCACATGACCATCATAAATATGAATCAGTTGCCAAGCATCTGAATGTAAATCACAAGACCCTGGAGATGCTGCAACATTCCAGCTGATGGGCGCTTCTTCTGGGCTCAGCAGAAGCACCAGGATCAGTGCTGCTTTCCAGCTGATTGGTGCTTCTTCAGGGCTCAGCAGAAGCACCAGGATCAGTGCCGAGCTCCAGCTGGAGCCTGGCACTGATCCTGGCACTTCCACTGAGCCCTGACAGTCCCGAAGAAGCGCCGATCAGCTGGAAAGCGGCACTGATCCTGGCGCTTCCGCTGAGCCCTGCAGCTGCAGCCATCTCTCGCTCAGGCTTGTGCGGTGCTGCCATCGGTTCAGCTCATTCCCCTCCACCGCTACCACTTTTCTAAGATGGTCGCGTACCACCTGCTAGGTGCCAATGTACCACAGGTGGTACCCGTACCACTGGTTGAAAAGCCCTGATTTAAGATATGCTGATGATACACTTCTGCTTGCTAATAATAATAATAATAATAATAATAATAATAATAATAATAATAATAATAATAATAATAATAATAATAATAATAATAATAATAATAATAATAATAAAGTTGGAAGGGACCTTGGAGGTCATCTAGTCCAACCCCCTGCTGAGGCAGGAAACCCTATACCATTTCAGACAAATGGCTGTCCAGTCTCTTCTTAAAAACTCCCAGTGTTAGAGCATTCACCACTTCTGGAGGCAGGTTGTTCCACTGGTTAATTGTTCTAACTGTCAGGAAATTTCTCCTTAGTTCTAGATTGCTTCTCTCCTTGATTAGCTTCCATCTGTTGCTTCTTGTCCTGCCTTCAGAAGCTTTGGAGAATAGCTTGACTCCCTCTTCTTTGTGGCAGCCCCTGAGATATTGGAACACTGCTATCATGTCCCCCCTCGTCCTTCTCTTCATTAAACTAGACATACCCAATTCCAGCAACTGTTCCTTATATGTTTTAGCCTCCAGACCTCTAATTATCTTTGTTGCTCTTCTCTGTACTCTTTCTAGAGTCTCAACATCTTTTTTACATTGTGATGACCAAAACTGGATGCAGTATTCTAAGTGTGGCCTTACCAAGGCATTGTAAAGTGGTATTAATACTTCACGTGATCTTGACCTTCAGTTCCTCATCAACAGAGTCACAGAAATATCTGAAAAATACGGCTTGAGGCTTAACACCTCAAAAACCAAGATCATGGTCATCAGCAAACAACCCATTAATTTACCACCAATAAATTCGGAAGGAATACCACTAGCAAAAGTCAGATACTATATTTTTTCCATCCTGCTCTAGGGAGTAGAGAGTTGGTCTCTGACAGAAGGCCATCTGAAGAGACTAGAAGCATTTGAAATGTGGATTTACAGGCGGCTGTTATGTATAAGCTGGGTTGACAAGATCAGAAATGAGGAGGTGATAAGCAGCCTGGGAAAGCCAAGGGAAATCATCAAAACAATTAAAAAGTGAAAGTTAGAATATTTTGGACATGTGATGTGACACCCAGAAAAATACGGCATACTCTATTTAATTCTACAGGGAATGATTGAAGGCAAACAAGGTCCAGGTAAAAGAAGAACATCATGGCTTCAAAATCTAAGGTTTGGACAAAACTCAGCAGCACTTTTTCGTGCGGCTGCTGATAAAAATAGGATTGCCAACATGATCGCCAATGTTCGATAACGGATATGGCACAAGAAGAAGAAGATTGACAAAAACCATGTCCTGCCCAATCTTGTGCCAGAAGCACATTGCTGGACTGAACCCAATATGTAAACATTAGAGCTGCTCATTCTTCAGTTTCTCCATAGCTTAGATGTTTATTAATCCAGCCTTTCCTATAAATTAGTGACTCAGAAGCTCTGTTACTTACAGAATGGAAAGGGTTTTTTGTTTTTGTTTTGCCACTGATAACCCAATCGGAATTTGCTGATTATCCAGTATGTTATTCTTCCTCCTCCTCCTGTCCTTGCCTTGGATTGGCCCACTTCCCCAAAATGAGGAAAGCTCTCCTACTGTTTGTTCATTTATTCATTCATTCATTATTTTAATTTATATCGGAGAGTTCCACTCAGAGTCCTTGTTAGAGGATTCGTTCTTCTGAGCATATGGAGTATATTAAAAGAATACCAAGTAATTAAACAGAACAGCAGCTGTAACAGGTCTCATTTAAAAAGAATAAAATGATCATAATAGAATTGTTTTGGATGAAGAGTATAGACTTAGCCCAGCTAGGAATGAATACAAGGAGGGAGAGAGAGAAGGAGGAGAGGAGAGAAAGAGGGGGTGGAGAGAGAGAATACATTCTTCAGCAACCTTTTCTTTTTAGACTCAGCATGGTAATGTGTGTTAATTGTAGCTACATACTGGATAAAATACCAGTTCTGAGAAAAGGACTTGATTATTCAGTCACTTAAAAGGTCTGGATGAAGATGAAGAAATTAATTCGTTTTCAGGATGTAGAAAGAATAGTGATTTCCTGACAGAACAATTAAACCGTGGAACGGTTTGCTTTCAGAAGTTGTGGGTGCTCCATCACTGAAAGTTTTTAAGAAGAGACTGGACAACCGTTTGTCTAAAGTGGTATAGGGTTTCCTGATTGAGCAGGGGGTTGGTCTAGAAGACCTATAAGGTCCCTTCCAGCTCTGTCATTTTGATATTCACCAAAGTATAGACCATTTCTTGCCAGCATGGTAGCAAATTAACTGCAGTCATGATTTAAAATAAAAAAATAATGGTAAATAACAGCAGAATTAACCATTGGAATAATTGATTGGTTTTTTACCAATGAGAAAATATTTCCTCATATCCAGCAACAAGGATAAAACAGTCAAAGAGTCAAAGATAGATTTTATAGAAAATGTGGGGTTATTTTATTGATCTGAATGTTGCAGTACTTACTTCAAAAGAAGGAGTTTGGCAATCCTAGGATTTAACCCAGACAAAGTGTGAGTTATATTAATATCACCAGTGTAATCAAGCAACGAATCAGCAAACACCTAGAGGCAAAGAAAGTCATTACTAAAAGCCAACATGGGTTTGTCAAAAACAGATCATGCCAGACAAACCTTATTGCATTCTTTGACCAAGTGACAAAATTAGTGGACCAGAGAAATGCTGTGGATATAATTTACTTGGACTTCAGTAAGGCATTTGATAAAGTAGACCACAACCTACTACTTGATAAGATAGAAAAATGTGGGTTAGACAGCATCAGTACCAAATGGATTCGTAGCTCGCTGACTGGCAGTACTCAGCATGTGGTCCTCAATAGACCTGCATCTACATGGAGGAAAGTATGTAGTGGGGTGCCCCAGGGTTCTGTTCTGGGCCCAGTGCTATTCAACATCTTCATCAATGATTTGGATGAGGGGATAGATGGGAAACTCATCAAATTTGCAGGCTACACCAAGCTAGCAGGAATAGCCAACACTCCAGAAAATAGGCTTAAGATACAGAAGGATCTTGACAGATTTGAACATTGGATGTTATCTAACAAAATGAAATTCAATGGTGAAAAAAGTAAGGTTCTACATTTAGGCAAGAAAAACCAAATGCACAGGTATAGTAGATGGTACCTTGCTCAATAGTAGTAACTGTGAGAGGGATCTTGGAGTCATAGTGGACAATCACTTAAATATAAGCTAGCAGCATACTGCTGCTGCCAAAAAAGCCAACACAGTGCTAGGCTGCATTAACAGAGGGATAGAATCAAGATCACATGAAGTTTTAATACCACTTTACAATGCCTTAGTAAGGCCACACTTGGAATATTGCATCCAGCTTTGGTCACCACGATGTAAAAAAGATGTTGAGAATCTGGAAAGAGTACAGAAAAGAGGAACAAAGATGATCAGGGGACTGGAGGCTAAAACATATAAGGAACGGTTGCTGGAATTGGGTATGTCTAGTTTAATGAAGGGAAGGACAAGGGGAGACATGATAGCAGTGTTCCAATATCTCAGGGCTGCCACAAAGAAGAGGGAGTCAAACTATTCTCCAAAGCTTCTGAAGGCAGGACATGAAAGCAACGAATGGAAACTAACCAAAGAGAACTAAGGAGAAATTTCCTGACAGTTAGAACAATTAATCAGTGGAACAACCTGCGTCCAGAAGCTGTGAATGCTCCAACACTGGGAGTTTTTAAGAAGAGATTGGACAGGCATTTGTCTGAAATGGTATAGGATTTCCTGCCTGAGCAGGGGGTTGGACTAGATGACCTCCAAGGTCCCTTCCAACTTTATTAATATTATTATTATTATTATTATTATTATTATTATTATTATTATTATTATTATTATTATTATTATTATTATTATTATTATTATTATTATTATTATTATTATTATATCTACGCAGTGCAAATAGATGATAATAAAAATGTGTTGCCTTCTAAAAAAAACCCAGATATATTTGATAAATTTCGTATGGAAAAAACTGCCACAGTTCCCAATATTTCTCAAAGATTACTACCTTTCTGAAACATTTAAGAAAACATTTTTTAAGATAATGAAGTTGAACCCTGGCCTTCATCCTTAAATTTTGGAATTACAAGATCAATGACCAGTTGATTGAGGAGTAATTTTAATTCCAGATAATGTACTCAGGAACTAAACAATAAAAACTAAACCAGGCAGCAATATTTGAATATTTAGCAAGATTTTGAGGAAGTTGTAGTATGTAGGAGAGGTTAGTCATACTTACATCTCTGTGTAAATATTAGACTAACGGTTTCTCAAATTTTACCAAACAGTAGTTGTTCATTAACTTTATCTGTATAAAATGAATTCTCCTCTATGTTTCTTTCCATTTCCAAAATGGAAAAACAATTGTTCACTCTGTGGCTGGCTTTGTCTTCACAACTTCTATTGACAGATGCTTTTATCTATCAGGTACTTGTCTTGGTTGATGCTTAATTGTTCATTGAAATATGAAAACAATATACATGCCTGAATTTTTAATGATTCAATTAATTTTACAGGTTGAAAGTTAAAACGAATAGCTAACTGAGAAGAACTAGACATAGACCAAGGGAAGATGAGTTGCACTGTAGCTGAACATGTTGTTTACAAATGGCATGTGTGACTGTACTTGGATATGTGTATTGTTAGTGTAAAGATGTAACTGAAGGTGAATAAGAGCATATTAACAGGGGAATTTGTTGTCCCTCGGAGAACTTGTGGCATCTCATTTAAGGTGCTCAAAAGAGGTATTTGAATTTGGATTCTCTCACCAAACTGGGAATTGAACTCAGGGACCAAAATGGTTCTAGCTCTTTGATTCTAAGTTCAGCTTATCAGTTTGTGGAATGAGAGTTTGGTGGGTTTTGAGCTTTATCTGTTGTCAAAATGAATAAGGATATTTTGCTGGAATCCTAGCAGTTTGGAATCACCCTTAGTTTGGATCCATTCTCAAGGGCCAGCAGACTCCAGAACTTGATTTATTACAAATTCCTGTAAAGTAATGCAAGACTTCAACAAAGCAAATCTGTTTTCTTGATGTGTGGCAGCTCTTCAGAGTCTAAGAGCAGTCCAGGCTCCCTTGCTGGGAATTTTTGCCTCAATGTGTTTTTCACCCTCCAGTGACAGGAGCTCTCCTTTGTCTTGCTTGTGGTAAATAATCACTATGTCTTAAATCAGAAGCTGCAAAGCAAACACTTTTGGATAGATTGAGGAATGGAAAAGATTGAGGTTTAAAAATGCTCCAAACTGAGTGGTCTTTTAAAAGTATTAACATGAGATAGATTGAAACGTGACAGAAACGTTGATAGTTTCCAAAGTTCTACAGAAGACTTTTCCCATTTGTTTTCACTTTTTATAACCACAAAATGTATTTTTGCTACATCTAAGTACGGTCACTTGTTATACTTAGAAAAGATAGTGCTATTGACAATTTCATTTTTGCTCTGCTATCCCATCCCCAAAACGAACTTCTGAACAGAACCCTATATGACCTCTAGTTATATCTAAATGTATATATTTCAGATTATGGAGAAATATCCTAAAGCAGGTCAGCTAGTAGGTATCCACAGGGGAAGGTTCAAAAAAGTCAAATCGGCAGCACATCGGCATGATTGAAAGCCCACTTGTTGTATTGATGAATATTCAAAGAACAGAACTTCAATAGCATATTCTTTATTGGTTAGGTCAAATACAAAATGCAAATATAAGTGCAGAGATGCAGGGAAGGCTCATATCTTAAATAAGAAAAATATAAAGATGTCCCTTGTGGCCAATTTAGGATATTAGGACAGAGCACCCCAGTTTGAAGGATGGGGGCAGGGATGGGTAGATGTTCTTTTAGGAAGATGCAGATATTTATGGAATTTTCTTCCATGGGTGCCAGAAAAAAATTCTGCACTTCTGAACATGTCAGAATTGGGAGATGGCTGTTGGTAGGCTGCGCACAGCAAATTAAATCAAATTCTTACAATAGCATTTTTTTCAGCAAAGTGTCATATTTTTTATAACATTAGACAATCCATGTCTGATTGGGGTATCCCTTCCTTCCGTCCTTCCTTCCTTCCTTCCTTCCTTCCTTCCTTCCTTCCTTCCTTCCTTCCTTCCTTCCTTCCTTCCTTCCTTCCTTCCTCCCTCCCTCCCTCCCTCCCTCCCTCCCTCATTTCCTCCTTCTCTTTCATTATCTGCCTGCCTGCCTGCAGCACTGAAGCCACCCATAACTTCCTCAAATTTCATTCCATTAGATGCATTTTGTCAGTTATCTGTTTTGAAGAAGCTTGATTCAAAAACTGTTGCCTTATAATTCACCATTTCACTCAGGTAAAGATCATAACAAGAGTTTTAGTAGCATATAGGTGTTTTATATAATATATATTTAAACAATATAAAACAGTTTAATAATTTAAAAGAACAATCTTGCATTTTTATTACAGCAAATTATCATATCAAAAATTAACTTATGTCTGTTTATTATAAAAATGACTCTGTCTGGTGTTTGCTACTAATACTTTTAGTCTTTGTTCGATTGTTAGTAACAATCTCCAGCAAAGAAACTGATAGAAGCTTTCTCTCTTCTTTCCCTAGAATGCCATTGAAATCTACAGCCTGCACATTGACTGCAAAGTTATGTCGCGGTATGCCCACACAGTGATCACCAGCAGAATTGTCAACAGGGGGAATGAATCTAAGGAGGCTGTTTTCGATGTGGAACTACCCAAGAAAGCCTTCATCACAAACTTCAGCATGTAAGCACTAAAGTAGGGCTCAACATCTGAAATGATAAGACAGATTTGAACTTTATTTACTCATTTTTTGAGGTTTATAAGACATTCCCATTACCAAATCTGGAGTAGCATACAGCTCCCTAAATATGTAATCTGGGACTAAAAACACAAATACAGATCAAATTACTGTAAAAACAAACCATGAAGTTATACCTATGTAAAACTGGGAAATATTTTCAGAGCAGTTGAAACCATTGAATACAAACCTCATCTGGAAGACACTTTTCACTCAAAGCAAAATAAACCTGACTGATTAAAATGTAATCACAAGAATTATTCAGCAATGGAGTTATCTGTACAACCCTACTTCCACAATTGATTGAACTGGATAAGAAATAATTACATTGATAAAGAAAGACAATGCAAACTCCCCCCCCCCCAATTAATATTTCCCATGAACATGAAATTATGATTAAAATGAAACTGAAATTATATTCAATCCAGTAATGTAGGGTTTTATTTTCTTTCACTTCATAAAATACCTTACTATCAGTGGGTTTCCCTTTTCTATTTCTGGACCTTTGTGAATTCTTTGAAACATCTATTTTGAAGGACCATAGATGGAGAAACATACCCTGGAATAATCAAGGAGAAACAGGCTGCTCAAACTCAGTATGATTCTGCCATTTCACGAGGTCAAAGTGCTGGATTGGTCAAGTGAGTACAAGATGTTTTCTCAAATTTCAATTTTAAGTGGATTTCTTTTCTTAACCAGATCCACTCAGTGCATATGATCCACTGTTCCTTGGCTCATGCAGATAATTAGATTCCACTATCATTCCTCAGAGGGTTTAAGCATTAACGTCTTATATAAGGAGATCCATGTAATCAAGTAATAAACCATGCAGGCCATCTTGAAATATTAAAGATGGCTCAGGAAGCCTATCGATAATCTGAGGCTTATCATGAATGCCAAAAATAGCAAAAAGGGGATTCTGTCAGAAGCTATACAGGGAGAAAGGGCAGAGGGGGAGGGCAGAAGGGAAAGAGTGATTAAAATAGGTAAGGAACTGGTGATAGAAGGTTTAGCTGCTGTGAGTGAATATAGTCTCAGGGTGCTAAAGGAACTGGCAGGTGTGATCTCAGAACTACTGACTGTAATCTTTGAGAATTGCTGGAGGTACAGGGAATGTGCCAGAGGACTGAAGAAGAGACAATGTTGTTCTGTTAAAGAGGGGAAAAAGCAGACCTAAGAAACTACAGAAATCGTAGCAAAGATTATCAAGCAGTAGGTTTGCAAGCACTTAGAAAGGAACAAAATACCTAAATTATACTTTTCTCATTTATAGATCAGCTGGAAGAAAGTTGGAAGAGTTTAGTGTTTCAGTTAATGTTAAAGCAGAAGGTAAAGTTAACTTTGAATTGCATTATGAGCAACTACTCGATCGTAAGCTAGGGAAATATGAATTGATCACCAAAGTCAAGCCCAAACAACTGGTGAAAGACTTTCAGGTAAAATCTCCACCAACAGTTTTATCCATCTGTCATTATCCGCTCATATTTAGAAGGTAGGACCCAATCACATCTTTTGCTTTTGCTTATACTTAGATTGATACTCACATCTTTGAGCCACAAGGCATAGCCTTTTTAGAAACGGAAAGCAGCTTCTTGAGCAATGAAATGAATGATGCTGTCATAAAGACACAGGAGGAGACCAAGGTACATGGCTGCATTTGACCCAAAACTCCTTAGAAAACTCTAACAACAAGAAATCACTGTTGTATTAATAGTTTGCCTGACATGATTTTTATTTGTCTTTAATGTTCAGGCTCATATTTCATTTAAACCAACCTTAAGTCAACAAAGGAAAATCCCTGAGTCTGAAGAGACTCTTCTAGATGGAAATTTCTTCATACGTTATGATGTTAAAAGGAATGTTCCCGTAGGTGACATACAGGTAACGTGATGTTTTTAATTCATCTGTGAATCCAACAATGGCCATTATCTAGGGTCTATCCTGAAATTTTCCAGTATCATAAACATTAGGCAGTAATGGATAGGGTGGGAGGAGGGGAGTTATGCCATGTTTTCAAGGTATTGCCTTCATCTTATTCCTGGCTCTGAGCTAGGGCAGCCAAGTCATTTTCAGCTTTAAAGTTTTAAAGTTTTCCCTCTTCTGCTGACAGATCCTTTGCATGGATAAGATCTAGCTTCCTTCATGTACTTGCTGATGAGATCAGGGATTGAGATTTATCCCACTCCTGTTATTTTAGGTTATTGCAGGTCTGCTTCCTCCTCTGTTCTTTGGACATTGACCTCTATAGCCATTTTGGCATGGGCTGCAAGAGGCACTGAAAAAGGGCCTTATGCAATGCTCTTCTGAAACAGTGTTAGACACACATTTAAAAAAACAAGACTAGCATTCTTTGGAACTGGTATTACCTGGAAGCTTACTGTAATTTAAACTGGGAAAGAGAGCCACATTCTTCCAGCTGTGTATTGCTGCTTTTGTTACAAATAGGACAGAGATGCTTTTATTACTTGGTGGGAAGACCTGGTGACCTTTGGCCTGTTCCAAAGCCACTTGCTGCTATACGCTTGCAGTGCTATTCAGGGGTGGAGCTCTCTTGTTTGTTTGTTTTTATAACAAATTTTATTGGTTTTTTTAACTTTTACAACAGAATGCTCAAGACACACCGTGGTGGTTAGGTGATAAATCATCCAAAAACAAAATCATATAATAGCTCAAGTAAATACATTAAATGTTCCCTCTCTATTTCCCTAAAATAATATAACCTATTTAACATAATCCATTTCTACATTACATATCTATAAATCCTAATCCTGTTTTGAACTTTATTAATTTACAGTTACCATAGTCCAATTTAATCTTAGATAAACGTATTATCACTTCGGGTATCCCTTCTAAAATACTAATCCAGATATATTCTAATTCATAATCTCATAAATCATTGATTTTATCACAAATCTCTTTTATTTCTTCAGATAGCATTTAAATCTCATTCAAATAATTATCATGTCTAAAAAGAAAGAACACACCTATTATTACACAAAACATCGTCTTACTAACTGAAAACACTCAATTAGTTGTTAAAGCAATCCGAATTTCTAAAAACTTCTTTCATATTCTTATTCTCATTCCATTACAAAATAATTTTCATACAAATAAACATATTATTCCAAAATGTACATTCTTACTCCATTTAACATATATATTCTAATAATCACAAATTTTCAACTCTAAATCTTAGTCCTTAAATCAATCCATATTTCTCAAAACCTTTTTACATATAATTTTAATTTTCTCTTTTTAGTCTTATTCTGGCTTTCTTTTTATGCCAAGCAGGTTTCCAGAACAAAGCCTCTATTTCAGCAAATAGATCTCCCATTATTGCTTGTAATGTCATTTGGGTCAGTAAAAGACCTCCCATCCTCTGTTTTTGACGCCTGGCTCCTGTCTGCTGGATAAAACACTCAATCATGTCCAATTTTATAATTAGTAGATGATTATCAAAGTTGTCATAATTCTCCAACAGTTGTAATTTCAAGTCCATTTCTGTTAGTTTTGCAATTGTAGATAGTTTAGTTACAATCATTTTCTGGTCATCCAAAGTCTCCATAGGTTGTATGTAAATTAATTCCTCTTCTATTGCTTTTTGGTCTGTAGAATGATCAAATAGAGTCTGAAGGTCAGTTTGTAAGTTCACAGTAGAATTTCTGTTTATTATTTCTGCAGTTCTCTCTCTTATTTGGGAACATATTTCCTCAGTAGCTTCATAAATGTTTTCCAGTATGAGTTTACAGTTGAGTTGTAAATATGGTTTCTCCATTTCAGTAGTAACACAAACAAGAGACGGTTGCAGTTTTAAATTTCTCCACAAGATGTCCTCAGTAAACTATTAAAATCTCTTCCAGACACCAAAAATGAGATTAGCAAAGTCAAAAAGCTATGAAATCTCTTTTCCAGCTTCTCATAGAGTTGGTTTTTTTTTTCAAACAATAAAGATTTATCCCTTTAAAAAAATAAGTCCAAGACATAGAAAAACAATATTCTCCAGCTTAGAAGATATAACAATAAAGTTTTATGATAAGGATTTTTCCAGGGCCCCCAAGTAACCAAAAATAAAAATAGTCAATAAAAAGTTTTTTCCTTTGTTATGGAAAGCTCTTTTCCCCAGATAAACAAAGGGAGCTCTTTCAAAGCAGGGGAGTAATTCCAAAAAGCTTTTAACAGGAGAGTAGTTAGGCAAAAAGAGAGAAGGAAAAGTCTCACCGGGATCATCTACGATGGTTTCTTAACGCTAGATGTTCTTTTGACTTTCGGCTGGAGCAGCTAAATGATCGGCCATGTTACTGGCCGATCTTTTCTCCATCGGCCCTGAGGAGCTGCCTCGGACCCCGGAGGGAGCTGCCTCCGCCCCCCGCAACCAACGGAGCTCTCTTGTTTTTGACTATGCCGCCCACCTCAGACCTTTCCCTCATCATCTGTTAGCTGACAAGTTAGTTTTTTGAGAAGGATCTATTGTTCTTTCATGACCGTGCTAAACTCTTATCCAGAAATCACCCAAATGACAAGACATAGATACAGAGGACCTTCATGCCTTCAAACTGTCTGTAGGTTGGCTGGACTACCTGTTCTAAGTCCCCTCCTACACATACCATCTCTGTCCCACCACTTTTTCTCAGGTTGCGCTCAATGGGAAAGAAAAGGAAACCCAGGGGAACCCACCAATCCCTCTTCTCTTGAAATGATCAGGACGGTGGCACTCGCTGTCCTCTTGAAATATGTGGCATGTTTTTCTGTCTTCTCCTGGACTGGAAGATGGTACTTTATGTGGCTGTCTCACTGTGTCTTTTAGTATACTTAGCTGAACTCTTAGCTTTGAGAAAGGGTCATTTAGAAAGGCCTCATCCTCAGTTTTGGTCAGTGATTACAATTCAATGATTCGGAGTAATAAAATGTGAACCCAAGGGATATAAACAAAAACTAACCTTGTTTGTTCAAAACTTACTGGAAATGTAATAAAAGCCAATTCTTGAGAATATCAATTTATTTCCCAGATCTCCCAGATTCTATCATAAATTCATAGTAATTATGCTATATTCCCATTTGTATCTATACCACAAACTGGTCCCACATTTTTTTCCCCAGTATCTGTCTATGAGGTACTTCATCTCATCCTTAGACCCTCAACTGGGACTGGCTTAAACTGTACTGGGATTAGATTTAGTTTTCCCTTGTTTTACTCCATACTGCCCAGAGAAAGCTTCAGACAGAAAATTAAGCTTTGCCACCCATTAGCTGGAGGAAAAACTGGTGATTGACAGGAACATGGCACAAAAGCAGTCACGGTAGGACAGGGATCAGTGATCAGGTCAGCAAATTTCAGGCTGGGGAACTGCCAGTGGATAGCAGTGTAACTGCATAGCAGGGAACTTATCCTATGAGAAACAGCACACACTTTGTGTTGGTCTGCTCCCTGTGGAAAATGTGTGTGTGTGGGGAAACCGAACCACAGTTGGAACAGATATAGTCAAAATATTTTTACTGCCTATCAATAAAAGTACAGAAGGTTATTTCCATTCAGGATATGTATTTTATTGAACTGAATTTATGCACCTATAGTTAGGAATACATTAACATTTATATTTTATTAAAGCAGACGTCTTTAGCTAAAAAGTTGGTTTCAGACATCAGTGTTTTTTATACAGTAAGCTACTGTGTGCTTGGGAGAGTTGAATGACTTATTGATATGTATTTCTTCAACCAAACTGTATTGTCAGAGTCACCCAGTTGGTGAGATGGGCAGAATATAAATTAAACAAATAAATAAATACATAAAAGTATTTTTTTACCCAGTATTCCATAGAGCTTATTTTGGTTTCTTTATCCTCCAGTACATCAACATATATATCTGTAACATGTTAAAATGACATGTTTTGTTCATTTCAGATCGTGAATGGTTATTTTGTCCATTATTTTGCACCAACGGAATTGCCAGTATTTCCGAAAAACATCATCTTTGTTATAGATCAAAGTGGATCTATGATTGGCAATAAAATTCAGCAGGTAATTTCTCCCAAAACAGAGCATTTTCTTGAGTCTACTGATAGTTTTTGTTGTATTCCAGGTTTAATTCCAATGAAAATTATCTTATTTCAACAAGCCAGCTTCAGGTATTCTCAGCCTTTTCTCTCTTTTATAGCTGCGAATCAAAAAAGAGCAATGATGCTGTAGAGTCAAAATAAACAGCCCTTCTTTCTATCTTTGTAATGTTCAGATTTATTTCCTTGTTGGCTTTGCATATATATTTACTTT